TACAGATTTTAAATCTTCACTGAATTTGTAGAAATTTGAGGATTTTGAAAATCTTCATAGGATTTTACAGGATTTCAAAAGATTTTAGGTGATTTTGGAAGTTAAGAGGGTTTATAGAGATCCTAAAAGATTTTTAGAGATTTTAATAGATTTTTGGGGATCCCAAAGGATTTTTGGAAATGTTAATGGAATTTTATAGGATTTCGCCAAATTTTTTTTGTTTTAAGAAAATTTTGTTAGATTTTTAAAGATTTTAAAGATTTTCAGGGATTTTGAGTAGATCTTACGAGTTTTTCTGGGATTTTGACCAACTTGTATACAAATTTTCATCAATTAACCGCTTGAAGTTTAGTTAACTCCATAAAATGTGTACCTACATAATTGAATCTTTAGGCATTGATTTTGTAGGATTTTAAAAAACTTCACGTGATTTTAAAAGATTTTAGATTTATGAGATTTTAGGTGATTTTGGATCATTTTAGGGAATGTAGAAAGGGGTTTTATGGCGTTTTTACCAACTAATTTAGGGGAGCCTTAACGATGAGTATTCCATAGGAGTTCTGCGAAAATTTTTGCTAATTCCATAGAAATTCCTCAAAATTTCACTAGAAGATTTTATGGAAATCCTCGAAATTCCATTCAAATGACAAATTTTAATAGAAAAACAGAAAGTCCTAGGAATTTTACCATATAGGATTTCATACTTAATAATTTTTCCGAATTTCACCAAAAGATTCCATGGAATTCCACAATAAAATTCTATGGAATTCTTGTAGAAAAATTTCTCGGGATTACAGTAAACGATTTCATGAAATTTTTTGGAATTCCACTAAAATTTTATGTAATTCGACAGAAATTACTCAGAATTTCACTAAATTTAATTCAATTTTCCGAAATTCCGCGGAAATTTTTCGTGGTTCCATGAAAATTCCACGGAAATTCTGTTTAATTCCAAGAAGTTTTTTTTTTGATTCGATGTACCTAATTTCACTGGAATTCCTCAATAAGATTTAAAGTAATTCCATATATATGGAATTCGACGAGAATTTCTTGAAATTTTACTCAACATTTCATCGAAATTTTATGTTAGTCGACACAAAGTGAAATTGTATACAGTGCGGCCGTAAAGTAAGGAATAAATTCAATAATTATTCTTCCAAGCATTTTTTTTTTAAATCCTCGAACACGTCAATTTTATTTTTTGTCAAGCATTTTTTATAAAATAAAACAATTATACAGAGTGGTCGCAGAAAAGCTGGACAGGTAGTAACTTATTTTTTTTAAATGGACACCCCTAATTTTTTTAACATTTTCAGATTTCTGATAAAATTTTAAGTGTTTTTCATAAAGCATGTCCTATACCTATCTTCAACTGTTTTGGAAATATTGACAGTTGAAAATTGACTTTTTGCAACTTTGACAGGCTGTAAAACCTAAACGGTTAATTTTAGAGGAAAACTGATTTTACATTCCTATCTTAGATTTTCATAAACTATCATTTGACACCAACTTTAAATTTACCCGGAGATTAAACTTAACTGAAAATTTTAATCGTAGATTAAATTCAAAGTTGGTATCAAATGATAGCTTATAAAAATCTAAGATAGGAATGTGAAATCGGTTTTCCTCTAAAATCAACCTTTCAGATTTTACAGCCTGTCAAAGTTGCTAAAAGTCAATTTTCAACTGTCAATATTTCCAAAACAGTTGAAAATGACTGACATTTCCTGTAAGTAATTTCTTAGAAATTCTAAACTTTTATGAGAATTTTTTGTTTTTTCACTGAAATTTTACGTTATTAGTCCGATATTTCTCGAAATTTCATTTATTTCCATAAGAATTTTTAGGAATTTCACTGAAATTCTCTTTGAACAGTCGGGAATTTATGGGAATATTAATGACATTTCAAGTAATTTCTTGAAAATTCACCGAAATATATTGAAATTTCATATAATTACATGGGAATTTGTCCAAATTTCACCAAAATTCCAAGTTTTTAGCCAAAAACTCCTCGGAATTCCACTTATGAAATTTTCTCTAACTATACTAAAACTCAGTAAATCGATGGGAATTTTTCGGAATTTCAATTTCACTAAAACGCTAAAAACATGGAGAATTTCAGTGATATTCCTAAAAATTCTTATGGAAATAAATGAAATTTTGAAAAAAAATAAGGAATTCCACTTATGAAATTTTCTCTAACTTTACTAAAACTCAGTAAATCGATGGGAATTTTTCGGAATTTCAATTTCACTAAAACGGTTTTTAACTGGGAATTCCTTGGGATAAAAATAAAAATTTATTATTACATTAGGATTTTTCAGAATTTTACTGGAATTCCTTATGAAACGATAAGAGTTGTTCAAAATTCCACTTAAATTTCATGTAATTCCCTGACAAGTCCTTGGAATTCCATGCAATTGCATCGAAGCTCCATAAAATTTGACGAAAATTCTTTGTAATTCATGTAAATTTTTGAAACTTTTTTAATAGTTATTTATGATATAAGTGCTAAAAGTGACATTTTATTTTGTGAAAAGGGAAGTTTGGGACACGACGCCGAAGGCGGAGTGTTCCATCCCTTTGAACAAAATAAAATCACTTTTAGCACGAATATCATACACTATTTTTTCTGCAAACGCACTAAAAGTGATTACTTTTAGCACTAGTGCTAAAAGTAATCACTTTTAACACCAGTGTCATAAAATGGCATTTTAGACACTGACAGCATCCGTTAAAAATGACACTTTTAGTGACGTTTGTAGAAAAAATTCTTTATGTAATTTTACGAAATTTCATGTTGGGAATTTTGATGTAATTCTTTAGAATTCCTCCATGCAACTAATTCAGGATTTCATGTAATTTCTCTAAATTTCATATTCCATGTAATTCGAGAGAACTAAAATTTAATGTGAATTCCCTGGTGAATTCTATAGAAACTCCGCAAAAATTGCACATGTCACATTTCACACCATAAAATTCAATGGGATTCTTTGAATTTTTTTTTCTTCAGAATTACAATATAAGATTTTCTCGAAGATTTCATTAAATTCTTCGGAATTCCATGTTATTCCATGGGAATTCCGCGAAAATTTAAAGTAATTCCATAGAAATTCCTTAACATTTCACTAGAAGATTTTATGGAATTCTTAGACAACATTTTTTCGGAATTACTGTACAGGATTTCATAAAATTCCTTGGAATTCCACTGAGATTTCAATTTCAAAATTCCATAAAAATTCCATGTTTTTTTTTTAACTTTACTGAAATTCCCCAAAATTTTACCACTGAAATATTCTGGAATTCCACAAAACTTTCTAGTCCAGGAGGCAGTGAAATTTTTTAGCACTTATTTTCCCAGTTGGTGTCTATCAAATAGTTTGTTCTCCCGTGTAATTTCATGTAATTGTTTAGAATTCCTCCATGTAATTCATTTAGGATTACGTATAATTGGAGAAGAATTAAAATTTAATGTAATTCTATGGAAACTCCGCAAAAATTTCAAATGTAATTCCTTTTTAGAATAACATAATTATTCTACCGAAATTCATCGAAATTCCACTAAATTATGGAATTTTGAGAGACTTTTAACAGATTTTTGTGGATTCCAAAGGATATTTGGAATCAAATTTGGAATATAGCATACTCCACTAAATCCCATTTTATTCAATTTGTTCATCATTAGCTCTATATATTAACTGTGTCGAATGCTTTTTGGACATCAACAAATACTGTTATTACATATTTTTTTTTCTAATTCTTTGGTACCTGATATATTCTAACATATCCACTACTGCAGTGGCGTAGCCAGCCGGGGGCAACACTACCGCTCTCAGAAAACAAAAGCAAAAATTAAGAAATTATGAAATTACATCGTTTCTTATTTATTTTGTTGACCTCTTCACAGTCTTCACTCTTTATTCTTTATCGTAAGACGTTATTGTCGGCAAATGCCTGATATCGAGGGGTGTTTCTCGGTTGGAAATAGGCGTACAAATCTCAAAATAATTTCCGGTAATGTTGAGAAATTACAGAAATTTTCTGTAAATTGTCACAAATTATGTTGATTCTCAGAAATTATATGAAATGTTTGGAAATTTTGGGAAATGCCAGGAACTATTAGGAAATTATTCGAAATATTGGGAAATTTTTTGAAATTATAGAAAATTTACTGAAATTAGTATAGGAAATTAGGAAATTTTCATTAGAAATCTTTGAGAATTTTTGTGTATCGCATATTGTTTAGTTCCTGTTCAATATTTTGTGAATAAAAATACCTAACTGCTAACAAAATAAAGGCAAGTAAGTAGATAGGTACCTATGTATAAACATACCTCATAAACTAAAGAATTCAAGCTTCATGTTGTTATTTTCTACTGGAAAAAATATAAAATTTTGGGAAAATGAGTTTCTAATCTTCCTCACTAAATGCAGAAAGTTTCAAATTTTTCCCTATCTGTCCTAGTTTTCCAGAAAAATGAAATGTGTGAGACTTTATTCTCAATTAATTCAGTTATTGTTAGTTGATTTTCAATATTTTGCATGTTGTAATTTTCCACTGGAAAGATTTGAAATTTTGGGAAAATGAGCTCCTAAATTTCCTCTTCGCATGCAAAAAGTTCCAATATTTTGCCTCTATTGGTTTTTCAGGAAAACTTTGAAATGTGTCCAAAAGTATTTTCAAATAATTCAGTTATTTAAAGTTAATTTTCAAAATTTCTCATGTTGTTATTTTTCACTGGAAAAATTTATAAATTTTGGAAAAATGAGCCCCTAACCTTCCTCTTTACATGTAAAAAGTTTCAAATTTTTCCCTTTATCAGTCTTCCAGAAAAACTTTGAAATGTGTGAGACTGTATTTTTAATTAATTCAGTTTTTGTAAGCTAATTTCCAAGATTCTTCATGTTGTTATTTTTTACTGGAAAATATTTGAAATTTTGGGAAAATGAACCTCTAATCTTCCTCTTTACATGCAAAGAGTTTCAAAATTTTTCCTTCACTAGTTTTCCAGGAAAACTTTGAATTGGATGAGACTGTCTTTCAATTTAAATTCAGTTTTTGTAGGCTGATATCTAAGATTCGTCATGTTGTTATTTTCCACTGGAAAAATTTGATATTTTGAGAAAATGATTAGGAAAATGAGCTCCTGATTTTCTTCTTCACATGCAAAAAGTTCCAACTTTTCCCTCTACTAGTTTTCCAAGAAATTTTTGAATTGTACGAGACTGTCTTTCAATTAATTCAGTTTTTATAGGCTGTTTTCCAAGATTCCCCATATTGTTATTTTCCAATGGAAAAAGTTGAAATTTTGGGAAAATGAGCTCCTTACCTTCCTCTTTACATGCACAAAGTTTCAACATTTTTCCTTAATTAGTTTTCCAGGAAAACTTTGAAATGTGTGAAATTGTATTTTCAATTAATTCACTTTTCGTAAGTTGATTTCCATCTTTTTCATGTTATTTTCCCCTGAAAAAATTTGAAATTTTGGGAAAATAACCTCCTAACCTTCCTCTCCAAATGCAAAAAGTTTCAATTATTCCCTCAATCCAAAAAAACTTTGAATTGTATGAGACTGTATTTTCTAAGGGGTAAACCACCTAGAAATTCTTTATCAAAAATGTGGGGAATTGAGGTATAGGGAATTTGAAGAAATTTATGGGGAATTTTGAGAAATTTTCAGTGAATTTGTGAGGAATTTATGAGGAATTTAAAGGAAATTGTAGGGTCATGACGTCACTGAGGTTCATATTCTTATTATAGGAAACACTAATAATTGTAAATTTTTGAAAAAATCTAGTTTTGTGTTGGACGTTGGACATTCATTTCTATCAAAGAAATTCTCCCAAAATTTCACTTCATGTTAACAGGTTCAAATTTAAAAGAATACTCAGTTTAATACTCAAGGAAAAACCTTTTGGAATTAGATCCACTTAGACTTGAATGGATTTGAATGCTACATTCAAGATACTGTTTATATTGGGGTCAAATTAGAAAATCGCCTAGTGAGAAAAAATTATTGGTCATTAGAGGATGGAGATTACATAATTTCAGTAGATCATTTCAATATGGGAATTGGAAAACACCGAGGAAAACACTAGAGAAAACATAATAAAAGTTAACATTTATTAGTTAATTCTGACATTGTTCCAGAAGATAGGATGAACTTTTCCAAAAGAGGTACAAAATTTCCTTAAAAATGACCCTGAGTGCAAAGGAACTTCAAGCTACTTAAAGTTGATATAAGTTTGATATAATATTTGAATCCGAATATATTGTATCCTAGTATCATAATATATAGAAAAGAGGCTGAACGTTGAAAAAAAGGTTTACCTTGTTTCAAATTATTGAAAAGGGAACTAGACACATTCGTATGGCCTACTGAGCCTATGCTGAGGTTCAGATTCAATTTATTGTTTATGGTCCTGTAAACATGTTTAACTTCTCGGGTCTATTCAAAATAAAAAGAAGTAATATACCCTCAATATTGTGAAACAATATACATATCTAAGTTGTTTGAAATATCAAATGCAGGTTTAGGTTAGTTTAAACCTCAGTTTAAACCTCGGTTTAAACCCCTGCATTCTGGATTACCGGAAACCAATCATTAGTTTTAGCTCTAAAGTCAACTAACCTAACCTTGCATTTGATCCTACTTGATAAACTGCTCTTGTGTTTTAACACTAAGGTCTGGTCTATTCACCTTCTGATAAACTGTCAGGTAATCCAATCTGATGGATAAAACCCAATTGTTGGCTAGTTATTCCTTGACCAATCCAATAAGATTATGAAATGGGTAAATTTATCTTATAGATAGTTACCAGCAAGTTTATCTGAAGATGAATAAACCAAGCCTATGCAAAATAAAAATTTAAAAAAATAAACTTATCACAAGTAATTATGAGGATTTTCAGGGAATTTGTAAGAAGCATTTGTGGTGAATTTGAGAGGAGTTTGCAGGAATTTGTGGGAATTTGCAGGAAACTAAGAGGAATTTGGACCTATATCAAGTTAGCAATACCACATGCACGCCGGGATATGGCGTTAAGTGATTAATTTGTCGCTTTTTTGTCGTAAATTTGTCGTGCAAAAAAAAAATTGTCGCGTTTTTCTTTTTTCTTAAATACCCTGGTAGTGCTAACTTGATATCAAGCATTACCAGGGTATTCAAGAAAAAAGAAAAACGCGACAAATTTATTTTTTGCACGACAAATTTACGACAAAAAAGCGACAAATTATTCACCTAATAAAACGTCTGTAGGAAGATCGGGTGACGTTGGTAGTGTTAACTTGATATCAAGTTACCACTACCAGGGTATATCTAAGGAAAAAGATAAACGCGACAAATTAGCATTACCAGGGTATTCAAGAAAAAAGAAAAACGCGACAATTTTTTTTTTGCGCGACAAATTTACGACAAAAAAGCGACAAATTATTCACCTAATAAAACGTCTGTAGGAACATCGGGTGACGTTGGTAGTGCTAACTTGATATCAAGTTAGCACTACCAACGTCACCCGATGTTCCTACAGACGTTTTATTAGATGAATAATTTGTCGTTTTTTTGTCGTAAATTTGTCGTGCAGAAAAAAAAAATTGTCGCGTTTTTCTTTCTTCTTAAATACCCTGATTGTGCTTACTTGATATCAAATTTGCACTATCAACGTAACCCGATATTCCTACAGAAGTTTTATTAGGTGAATAATTTGTCGTTTTTTTGTCGTAAATTTGTCGTGCAAAAAAAAAATTGTCGCGTTTTTCTTTTTTTTTTAAATACCCTGGTAATGCTAATTTGTCGCGTTTATCTTTTTTCTTAAACACCCTGGTAGTGCTAACTTGATATCAAGTTGGCACTACCAACGTCACCCGATGTTCCTACAGACGTTTTATTAGGTGAATAATTTGTCGCTTTTTTGTCGTAAATTTGTCGCGCAAAAAAAAAATTGTCGCGTTTTTCTTTTTTCTTGAATACCCTGGTAATGCTAATTTGTCGCGTTTATCTTTTTCCTTAGATATACCCTGGTAGTGGTAACTTGATATCAAGTTAACACTACCAACGTCACCCGATCTTCCTACAGACGTTTTATTAGGTGAATAATTTGTCGCTTTTTTGTCGTAAATTTGTCGTGCAAAAAATAAATTTGTCGCGTTTTTCTTTTTTCTTGAATACCCTGGTAATGCTAATTTGTCGCGTTTATCTTTTTCCTTAGATATACCCTGGTAGTGGTAACTTGATATCAAGTTAACACTACCAACGTCACCCGATATTCCTACAGACGTTTTATTAGGTGAATAATTTGTCGTTTTTTTGTCGTAAATTTGTCGTCCAAAAAAAAAATATTGTCGCGTTTTTCTTTTTTTTTAAATACCCTGGTAATGCTAATTTGTCGCGTTTATCTTTTTTCTTAAACACCCTGGTAGTGCTAACTTGATATCAAGTTGGCACTACCAACGTCACCCGATGTTCCTACAGAAGTTTTATTAGGTGAATAATTTGTCGTTTTTTTTTGTCGCAAATTTGTCGCGCAAAAAAAAAAATTTGTCGCGTTTTTCTTTTTTCTTAAATACCCTGGTATTGCTAACTTGATATCAAGTAAGCACTACCAACGTCACCCGATGTTCCTACAGAAGTTTTATTAGGTGAATAATTTGTCGTTTTTTTTGTCGCAAATTTGTCGCGCAAAAAAAAAAATTGTCGCGTTTTTCTTTTTTCTTAAATACCCTGGTATTGCTAACTTGATATCAAGTAAGCACTACCAACGTCACCCGATGTTCCTACAGAAGTTTTATTAGGTGAATAATTTGTCGCTTTTTTGTCGTAAATTTGTCGTGCAAAAAAAAAAAATTGTCGCGTTTTTCTTTTTTCTTAAATACCCTGGTAGTGCTAACTTGATATCAAGTTAACATTACCAACGTCACCCGATGTTCCTACAGAAGTTTTATTAGGTGAATAATTTGTCGTTTTTTTGTCGTAAATTTGTCGCGCAAAAAAAAAAATTTGTCGCGTTTTTCTTTTTTCTTAAATACCCTGGTAGTGCTAACTTGATATCAAGTTAACATTACCAACGTCACCCGATGTTCCTACAGAAGTTTTATTAGGTGAATAATTTGTCGCTTTTTTGTCGTGCAAAAAAAAAATTTGTCGCGTTTTTCTTTTTTCCTAAATACCCTGGTAGTTCTTACTTGATATCAATTTAACATTACCAACGTCACCCGATGTTCCTACAGAAGTTTTATTAGGTGAATAATTTGTCGCTTTTTTGTCGTAAATTTGTCGTGCAAAAATAAAAAATTGTCGCGTTTTTCTTTTTTCTTGAATACCCTGGTAGTGCTAACTTGATATCAAGTTAGCACTATCAGGGTATTTAAGAAAAAAGATAAACGCGACAAATTAGCATTACCAGGGTGTTTAAGAAAAAAGAAAAACGCGACAATTTTTTTTTTGCACAACAAATTTACGACAAAAAAACTACAAATTATTCACCTAATAAAACTTCTGTAGGAAGATCGGGTGACGTTGGTAGTGTTAACTTGATATCAAGTTACCACTACCAGGGTATTTAAGGAAAAAGATGAACGCGACAAATTAGCATTACCAGGGTATTCAAGAAAAAAGAAAAACGCGACAATTTTTTTTTTTTGCGCGACAAATTTGCGACAAAAAAACGACAAATTATTCACCTAATAAAACTTCTGTAGGAATATCGGGTGACGTTGGTAGCGCTAACTTCATATCAAGTTAGCCTACCAGGGTATTTAAGAAAAAAGAAAAACGCGACAAATTTATTTTTTGCACGACAAATTTACGACAAAAAAGCGACAAATTATTCACCTAATAAAACTTCTGTAGGAACATCGGGTGACGTTGGTAGCGCTAACTTGATATCAAGTTAGCACTACCAGGGTATTTAAGAAAAAAGAAAAACGCGACAAACTTATTTTTTGCATGACAAATTTACGACAAAAAAACGACAAATTATTCACCTAATAAAACTTCTGTAGGAACATCGGGTGACGTTGGTAGTACTTACTTGATATCAAGTTAGCAATACCAGGGTATTTAAGAAAAAAGAAAAACGCGACAAATTTTTTTTTTGCGCGACAAATTTGCGACAAAAAAAACGACAAATTATTCACCTAATAAAACTTCTGTAGGAACATCGGGTGACGTTGGTAGCGCTAACTTGATATCAAGTTAGCACTACCAGGGTATTTAAGAAAAAAGAAAAACGCGACAAACTTATTTTTTGCATGACAAATTTACGACAAAAAAACGACAAATTATTCACCTAATAAAACTTCTGTAGGAACATCGGGTGACGTTGGTAGTACTTACTTGATATCAAGTTAGCAATACCAGGGTATTTAAGAAAAAAGAAAAACGCGACAAATTTTTTTTTTGCGCGACAAATTTGCGACAAAAAAAAACGACAAATTATTCACCTAATAAAACTTCTGTAGGAACATCGGGTGACGTTGGTAGCGCTAACTTGATATCAAGTTAGCACTACCAGGGTATTTAAGAAAAAAGAAAAACGCGACAAACTTATTTTTTGCATGACAAATTTACGACAAAAAAACGACAAATTATTCACCTAATAAAACTTCTGTAGGAACATCGGGTGACGTTGGTAGTACTTACTTGATATCAAGTTAGCAATACCAAGGTATTTAAGAAAAAAGAAAAACGCGACAAATTTGCGACAAAAAACGACAAATTATTCACCTAATAAAACTTCTGTAGGAACATCGGGTGACGTTGGTAGTGCTTACTTGATATCAAGTTAGCAATACCAGGGTATTTAAGAAAAAAGAAAAACGCGACAAATTTTTTTTTTGCGCGACAAATTTGCGACAAAAAAACGACAAATTATTCACCTAATAAAACTTCTGTAGGAACATCGGGTGACGTTGGTAGTGACTTTTTTTTTTGCGCGACAAATTTGCGACAAAAAACGACAAATTATTCACCTAATAAAACTTCTGTAGGAACATCGGGTGACGTTGGTAGTGCTTACTTGATATCAAGTTAGCAATACCAGGGTATTTAAGAAAAAAGAAAAACGCGACAAATTTTTTTTTTGCGCGACAAATTTGCGACAAAAAACGACAAATTATTCACCTAATAAAACTTCTGTAGGAACATCGGGTGACGTTGGTAGTGCTTACTTGATATCAAGTTAGCAATACCAGGGTATTTAAGAAAAAAGAAAAACGCGACAAATTTTTTTTTTGCGCGACAAATTTGCGACAAAAAAAACGACAAATTATTCACCTAATAAAACTTCTGTAGGAACATCGGGTGACGTTGGTAGCGCTAACTTGATATCAAGTTAGCACTACCAGGGTATTTAAGAAAAAAGAAAAACGCGACAAACTTATTTTTTGCACGACAAATTTACGACAAAAAAACGACAAATTATTCACCTAATAAAACTTCTGTAGGAACAT